CAAGTCATCTCTGGCCTTCTCGTGCGAAGCGCATCTTCTGCAACTCCACGCCTCAGTCCAGCGAGCGCCCAGCCTTGTGCAACTGCCACGCCCGCTAGGCCCGCTAGGCTCCCAGCAGAGCTGCAGATGTCGTTCGATGATCTTCTCCAAGGTCGGAGACCTGGCACTTTTCCACGGAGCAAAACCGTCGAGCGGGAAATGCACCAAATTGCAATTTCACGGCAGGGCAATGGCTCGAAATAAAAAGGCCTGACTTTCTGGTTTGAACCAGAAACCGACAACACGACAAATTCCTCGGCATCCCCGTACACATGTGCTATGCATGTGGGAAGCACAATGGCACCCACAGGAGCTAGGAACAAGCATTGCAGGCGAGGCCATTGGTTCTTCCAGCGCTTGTGTAGGATCGCGTGATGCAGGGTCTCCAAGGCTTCATTCTGCTTGTTCACCTGCAAGATAATGCTCGGCCAGGCCAAAAACTGCCAACTCGCCCTACCAGTGCCAGCCATGTCTCTTCGTGTCAAGGGCCAAAGCAAAAGCCGAAAGCGTGACCTCATTCCCCCAGCCCGCACGCGCATGGGCACCATTTTCTACCACGGGAACTTGGCCAACGCTTCCATAGATCCTAGCCCCACCCCGGGGGTGGCGCCCCCCAGGGCGGCGGTGCCCCCCAGGGATCGTGCGGCGGGGGGCCCCAGCCCCAGGCTGGAGGCGGCGGCCCGGCCGCCCAGGCATCCTCGGGGAAGCCGTCATCGCGGCCCTTCCTCGGCAAAAAAAACAAGGGGCAGCCCCGGCCAAAAGCACGGGACATTTTGGCAAGATGTTTCTGTGGCTCAGGAAAAAAAAGGAGAAGAAAAAAAAAAGGAGAAAAAAAAAAAAAAAAAGTGCCAAAACGGCACCTTGGTAAATGGAACCGGACTAAAACCTGCGTAACACTAGTGATTTAATTTTGAGCCACACCCATGTCGACCCAAAGCGTTTGCTTGCTTTTTGGGTCTTCCACATGGAGCCTCAGCCAGCTCTCAACCAAAGAAACCTCCCCCCTTTTTCAGGCCCAGGCACCGTGAGCGCGAGCGCCGCCGCGAGCGCGAGCGTGAGCGGAAGCGCCGACGCTCCCTCTGCTCACGATCCTTGTCCCGTTCCCTCTCCTTCTCCGTCTCCTCACGGCGCTTTCCTCAGGAGCGAGCTTCCCCAAGCTCTGTAGCCCTCAACGTTCGTTTTTGGGAAAACCGCGCAGGCTCGTAAGGTGAAACAGTAAAAGGATCGAGTGGTCAAGTTTGTCAACTTTCGCCAAGTCTCGCTCTTTTTCTAAACGTGCCTTCTTTTCATCACTGTCTTCATCGCCATGTGAAAACTTACAGCGATCTCCTCGAGTGCAGCGGTCCATCCTGTAGTCCTGACACATCTCGATTCCATCTACTCTTCTGTCTGGAAATTCACCTCCTTTCTGCTTGTCGTCCAACGTCTCGTCGATATTTTGTGAACGCCCGTCTTCATCTTCCTCATGGGGAGGAAGCTTCCAACATCGAACTGCGGCTGGGCATGCTTGCATACATTAGAAAACACAAGAGTCGTGAACATCGATCGCTCTGCGTTTGGCATCATAGCGCCCATTTTTTGTTGGAAGGGCGCGAGCTTAATACATTTGCCCGGCAACCCACCTTCTTCCCACTCCTTCTTCCTATCCCAGATTGGCATCTCAGGGTATGTTTTGACCAAAAGAAGTTCAAGCCGTTCCCAGCAGCGAACTGGAGCAAAGGCTGTCCAAATCGGAGGGGAAACTTGACTCACCTGGCAATTCGAGGCAGCCTTATGGCTGGACCTTTGTGCATCCCATCCATCGCGTAGAAAGGCCCAAGTTCGTATGCAAGCCGAGCGCCCAAAGAAGTAGCACAGGCGATTCACGAACGAGGAGCAAAAAACGAAACAGAATTGCAAAATGGCAGAGAATATGAAAGACCATAAGACACACAAAAGGAAAGAACAAGTGGCAAAGGAACCATGAGACAAAACAACTAGGTGGCAAAACTCGCCTGGCGCCCCAAACCCGTCGATTCCGCCACCCGTCCAGCGTGATGTGCAAAGGCTTCCCTGCCACCTTCTGGTCCTGCAGCTCCTGGCCGAAAAGCGAATACCGCGGATGGGCTGCGAAATCCATTTCGCACCATCTAAAAAACCCATGGTTGAAGCCACATTCCCGGCCGGCGCTGCATTCCGATGGCGCCACGTTCCGGCTGACGCCGGAACGTGGTTTTGGACGTCTTCTCACTTGCGGGACTACGCAGGAACTCCAAACCAGGGGCGGGGTTGCAAGCTTTCCTCCGACCAGCTTTAGCCTGCGCGCGTTCTGCCGGCAAACACACATGGTTCGTCAGTCCATCCTCTTTTTAGCAAACCTCCCTTACACATAACTTTTGTGAACCAAAAGTAACTCTTGCAACCTCCACTGCGAAGCTTTCGCGGAGGGCGACACTAAGACCAAAAGGTCTTTCTCAGGAACTCCTCGCAGAAGACAAAAAAGACAGCCTTGCAATAGCAGACCTGCCACTAGTTAGCAGTTAGCGCACAAGGCACACCTTGTTGGCTATGGCATGGCCTCATGTGAGAAACTTGCAAAACTTCCCGCAGACGAGGTAGCTATACAGATGTTTAAAGCAATGCTGAGGATGTTAAAACGATGCCGGGCCTTAAACTACCCTAAACGGACTACCCCAAACCTTCCTTAAACCTACCCTGAACCCATTCCAAACCTTCGTCCTACCGAGGCGCCAACCAACCAACCAACCAACCAACCAACCAACCAACCAACCAACCAACCAACCAACCCAACAACCAGGGTTAGCTCTGTGCCAGGGCTAGGCCAAACAAAAAAAAAAAAAAACGTTCCCCCCGGAAGGCTTTGACAAAAACAGTGCTATTACATAGGGTCAGGGTGGCGAGATTGCCCATGTTGTCTCAACGGACTTCAGGAGGAGCAACCTCGGCTTCAGGGATTCGTCATATTTCGTCATCGCAGTTTGTCTTCGGGAGGAAATTGGCTGTGGGAGGGAGCTCGGCTTCGGCGAATTCGTCTTCGTGAATTCGTCTTCACAATTCGTCTTCTCGGGGGAGTTTGGCCTCGGGATGGCATTCGGCTTCCGAAAATCCGTCTTGGCAGTTCCTCCTTGCTTCTGAGTGAGCCTTGGGCGAGTGCGTCTTGGGAAATGCCGCAATGCACATAACATTGGAGTTGTGCGGTCGCAATAAATCCCAAGATCCCCAAGCTCAGCAAATCCGAGGCTCCTTGGCCACTTCCCGAGCGGAAGCAAAGTCCCGCATGCGCAAGCGCGCGCCGCCGCCGTTGCCGCCCTCGCCCTCACCCGGACCAGGAACCATCTCGATGCCTGGTGACAAAGGGCGAGGCTGCAGGACCGCCAATACACCCGATTCATGCGATGCCGGTTAGGTGCTCAACTCTTTCCCAAGCAAAAGAGGGAGAAACAAGACTCAGCGCCCAAACGACAAGGTTTGAACCTGGAGGAATCCCACATGCTCAGGCCCATCAGTATGATCCAAGGTCCAAAGTCGCCTGAAATGAACGACCTCCGCCAGCAAACCCCACCCCCCCTCCCCAAAACAAAAGAAACAAGCAACAAAGAAAATTCAGACGCGCCTAGCAGCGCGCTGGGCTTCACAGTGCCGTGCAGCAGCGCGCCCACGTCCGAGGCGCCCCAGCGTGCCGGGAAGTCCTCCAGTCACGCTGAAGTATCCATTCTTTTTGAGGGGGGAAACGCAGGCTGGTGTGAAACCAGAAGTATCCGATGTTGGAGGAATGAGACCATGTTTGGCATCTTTGCGATGTGTCTCAAAATAAGGTGCCCCGGGGAAAAAAAAAGGAACGGGAGGGGTGCCTTTGGTTCACCTTTAAATCCACCCGAGCAAGAAAAAAAAAAACTTCGCCCAAAAAACAAAATGACGGAGAGGTCTCCCCCCCTTTTTGGTCCTGGATCAGCACGGAGCCCGGCTTGTTGTCCACGGCGTTCTGGTTGGGCGGCTCGCTGAGCTCCTCGGTTGCTTTCTGCAAACCCCTTCTAAAAGTTCTCAACTTTTAGTGGGTTCAATACGGAAAACCCATTCGTTGGCAAAAAGTTAAAGTCCTAACATCCCTTGGCACAATGCACCAAAGGCTCGATGTCCAGCACCGCGTCCAGGACCTCCGCCGCCGCCTTCGCCGCAGCTTCGTCCTCGAAGGCGCCCACGGCCTTGCGGTGGCCGTCGATCAACACCGGGGGCAAGGTCAAAGCGCCGAAGACCTCCAGCTCCTGGCCACTTCAACCCGAAAGCCCCAAACAAAACGGCAAAAATACAGCAAAATGGGTATGGGCCAACATCAAACCACTAGGGGACCGCAGGTTTTAGTCCGTGTTTCCATTTGCCAGGGTTCCAATTTGGGTACCTATTTTGACCCACACCCAAATGAGCAGAGTTGGCGAGGGAGGCGGGGGGGTGGTCGACCCAAACAAAACGTAAACCCTTTGCTTGTTTGCAGCTGAAGTCACTTGCACAGAAGCGGGAGTTGTGGAGTAAGCTTGCCATTGCTACATGCAGTTGTATGGCATCTGCCTTGCCACCAGCCAAGGCCTTCAAGCTTTCTGTGGGGTCTGGTCCTGACTGGGGCCTTTGGCAGCGATAGTTGCTACCTTGGGGCTTCGCAAGTGGAATGGCCAATAAGCTGGGATTGCCCGGCCGATGCCTTCGTGTTCAGAGGGCACGAAGCATGACTTATTGATACTTTTTCTGGCAGCTCTGAAAAAAATGAAACAGCTGACCTGCTGAGTTGACTGACCAAGTCTTAACTGTTTGTGCCTCTTGTAATGAATGCTAGCAATAGTAAGCTTCAAGCTTCTCACTAGAAAGCTCACCTTGGTAGGCCGACTCCAAACACACCTCCAGGGTCCCTGGTCTCGTCCGGAATTTTGGATACACACCTGGCCCCAACACATGCGCACTAGCTGAGTGGTTCTCCTCCGCGAGGTGGGTCGTCAGCTCCTCCGTAGTCTTGGCTTCCCAGTCCACGGGGAAGTTCCACAACGTCACGTACTGACCCCTCACCACCGGCAGGGCCGCGACGCCGCGCCGCTTGGGACAGTCCTTGCAGTCTTCGGATTGAAGGGTCAACTAACGAGGGACCCAGTCAGGAACATGAGACTTTCTTGCCAAAGACTTAACAGCTCCAAAAAAAATGTATGCTTTGCACTGGCTGTCCTTCATCAAATGACCCGCAATGCCGCAAACGTGGCAGGCTCGGGATTCTTGGCCTTCCACTATCCGGCCCTCAGGATGAGAATACAGGCAGTCGGGCCGCTTGCATTGAACGCCCTGCCGGCACATTCCCTTGGAAGGATCATCGTCAACTTCACGCCCTTGTGGGTGAACAAAAAAGCAGCCTTGTCTCTTGCACTTCCGCCCGAAGCGGCAAATTGTGCTGTTTGGGTCCTCGTCAATGCCACGGCCGGTGGGGTGCGTGTCCGTGCACTGCGAATTTTTGCACGCACGGCCGTATTTGCATTGAATGCCGCTTGTGCCCTCCCAAGGAAACTGTTTGCCTGTGTTATTCGCAGGTGTGGAGTTGCCACCCTTGGGCCCGCTTGCAGCCGCGCTCGCCGGGGCCGTGCTTGCGGTGCTTGGCGCCGGTGCCGTGGTTGGCGCCGGTGGCGCCGGCTGTGGCGCGCCGGGCATCATGGACAGCAGCTGCGGCATCAGCAGCAGCGGCGCGTGCCCGGGCGGCGGTGGAATGGGCGGCTTCAACCCCATCCCAAGCCCCGGTAGCCCTGGCATCCCTGGAAGCGGCGACTTCACCACGCCGGCCACACCGGGAGGCGGTGGCGGTGGCGGCATTCCTGGCATCCCTGGGCCGAGCATGCTGGGCTTGCCGCTCTCAGCCCCTACCTGTACATTCTGGGATTCCTTCCTTCAGTCGGAGCATAACTTTGCAGCACGAAACAACAACATGTACAAACATCATCCAATTGACCAGGCGCTGCGCATGACGTGCTGCTCCATGACACTACCAGCAAGTGCACAGAGTACCACTCGGCAACATCTCCCCCAACAAAAATCGAGGCAGTTCCTTGAATGAAGCGTAACACATCAGAAGCGTCAGTTGGAGGTGAAAGTCTTTTTGAAGCTTTGATCTTTGAATTCGCTGCTTGGCCTCAAGGAGCTCCTCTGCTCGCTTCAGCGCGTTCTCAGGCTTCACGAAGCTCGTCATCGCGTCGCCTGCAGGGCAAATGGCTCCCCCTGCCCAAGGCCAAAAGCCTCCCTGTGTCACAAAACAAACCCAAAATACCGCGATTGCCAACTCCTTGTGGCTATCTGAACCTGCCTTGGTCTCAAAATTTGCTGCACAATCTGCGTCGGCGTAACTTCAGCTCCTCGAGAGGGGGCCTGCGCATTGCACCAGGCAAATGGTACGAGTCCGCAAAATATTTCCCCTCCCTCCCCAAGAAAGCATGGCAGTGCCTTTCGTCAATCGGAGGGACTGCTGGTGAATGCGCAACAAGCTGGTGTTGAGTTGAGCCAAAGAGCTTGCAGCATGGTTTCCCTGGAGTAATATATGAAAGCTACGCTGCAAGCTAGCACCCAATGACCGAAAAGTTGAGGACATCGATCACACATGACAGATTCCGTTAAGAGCCCTGCAAAGCCACAGAAAGGTAAAGCAAGGCAAATTGATATGGTTGGAAACACTGATGCATTCGGCTGCGCAAGGATCGCCTCGTCAAATCGCCAACCATTGGGTTTGAGCAGCGCGACCGTGCTCAAATACTAAGAACTGCAACACTTGTGCTGCTTTCCTGGCTCGCTCTGGCCAGGAGAACTTCAGGCAGGATGTGGGGAGACTCATTTGGTTGGAACAAGGATGGCCGGTCAAGTGCCTGTGGCTGCGTCCGGGCTGTTGCCAAAAGGGGTTCCCGGGATGGCCCAGGGAACCAAAGGCGAGAAGAATTGACTCTGCGAAGGCCTGAGCGGCCGACGCGAGGACCTGGACGCAAGGACCTGGTACGCTCCTTCTGGCGCGAGGCCAAAGAGCACCAGGAGCCACGCAGCTTGCAAGTCGGGAGGGGGGTGCAGCTGTGCTGCGTGCATCGGGCAATTTCTGTCCACTCGCTCCGGCAACGACCTTGATGGGGCAGGCCTTGCACACAATCTGTCGCACTGCCATTCTATCTCTTCTGCGCAACCCGGTCTGAGTGTGCATGGCAAACGGCGTCCCCCCTTTGCTGATTTTTCAGGCGGAGCGGGGGGCAAGGGGACCTCTTTCTGGTCAAAGTTGCGTCGCCTGCGTCTTACGAAAGCTCGCATGGTTCCCCGCCTCGTGTTTTCACAACTATTTTTGTGAGCGCAAGTTGTTGCTTTAAGCTTGGCAAAAGAAGCGAGAAAACATGTTTTGTTTTTTGCGTTGCGCCCCCACAACAACCAGGGGATGGAAAATCAAGATCGAAATTGCACTACTAACGCCATGTAAATAATCATGTAATTCTGCACAAAGAAACAATGATTTATGCCGTGGGCCGTGGGATGTTTCTTGCGCTGTTTCGGGGACAACTATTGTGTACCGGCAGCCCCCGGCTGTGCTTAAGGGCCCATCGGCCGGACGAGCGGGATGCGCCCGCCAGCGGCGTCCAGCCCTTGCAGCGCCTGCCGACCTCCAAGCTGTCGGTACGTGAGTGGCCTACATCCGGAGGGGAGGCGCAGGTCGGGGCGAAGACACTCTCGAGTCCCTGGTGGTGCAGTTGGAGACATCCAAGTGTGTACTGATCTGCTGATGTCGTGCAAGGTCTCTTTGGTCCCCTGTCTTTGGTCCCCTGAACGGCTGCTTGACGTCTCCCTGCTAAAGAAAGCTTCAGGGAAGCCTGTTTCCACTCAAAGCGCACCGCGCATCGGGCCTAAAGGCGCCTGCCCCGTGTGGATTCTCCTGCGCAGCGCGCGACTCCACATGTTTTTTGTCCTTGCACTTTTGCCCGCGCAGACATGTGAAACCCCTCCAACTACAGGACTGGACAGGCAGTCCGTGCCGGAGCTCAGGGGCCTGTTCGCCAGAACGTTCCCAGGTGCGGCCACCGCTGCCGCGCCGCTGCACGTCGATCACTGCAGCGAAAGCGCCGCTTCTGCGGCGTCCAGCAAGTCGCGCGTCGAGCTGTACGTGTGGGACGTGCGTCTCCCCACGCCTACCCGAGCTCCATTCTAGGAGGCCCCGTTGGCGACAACCTTAAAACCGTGACTCGAGCGCCGCCTCGCTGCAGCTCGCAACAACCCAGCCCGGGCGCACGCCACGGCGCCGGCAAGCGCGATCGGAGATGGGACGGGCAGCCAAAACTTCATTTTTTTCACACACCTTTTTTCCCACGTCTCTCCCCCCCCACCCAGCTTATGGGGTGCTTCCGGGCACTGGAAGATTCACGAGCTGTTATTTTTTGTGAGGGCAGTTTCCTCTTGGCAGGCGGCGGCAGCTCAACGTGCGCACAAAGAATGTCGCTGATGCACGGCGGAGCGCCATCCACGTTGGCAGTGGACTGAACGCTCGCGGCAATCAAGCTAGCGGCGTAAGCCCTGGATGCCGCCGCGGCGAGAAAAGAGCACCATCGCCTCACGCACGCCACGGCCAGTACGCTGCGCAGCGGTTGGTTATGACCTCTTTCCGGCGGTCATCGCTCGGGGCGGCGCCCACGCTCAAGTCTCGGACTAGGGTGAGTGTGGTGACCACCTGCATGTGGGCACGCCGACCGACGATCTCCAAGGGTTCCCCGCAAGCTGTTTCAGTAACAGCGGGCAAACACAAGTGGCAGTGGCAAGCGGGGCCTGGAGCAGCACACACATCTGCGCTGGCTCAAAGACTGACTCCGGAGCGGTAGCATTGTGAAAGCCTGGACCGTTCGGAAGGCAAAAGGGCAAGGGACGCTGGGTGCAGGCCGTCACTGTGCCCACTAGCCCTGCGCAAGTAAAACCTGACAGCCACTCGTGCTCTATAGCAAAAAGATCGGTGAGTGCTTCGTGGCGACGCGCAGTACAGCAACTGCAACCAGGCCTGCAGGTCAGCAAGGGCCGGGAGGACCTGCAGGAAGCGAAGTTGTTTGTTGCGCACTGCTAGCTCTGCCTCGAAAAGCTGAGCATTGCCGCGCCGCACATAATGTCCGCCAGGCCTGGCGGCTCAACTGCGGCTGCGTTCCACACACGTGTTTTTGCGTGATTAAGGAAATGCGGGCATGTTCATACAGGTTTCGGGACGCAACAGCGGCTGTATGCACCCAGGCTGCGCCGCAAAAGAACGCTCCTCCGGGCGGAGCTCCGGCTGCAGCATTAGCGCTCTGCTCCCCGCCTTCCTTTTTGTGTGCAACACACGGTGGGGCTGGGCTAGAGTGTCATGCCGCACATAAGTTGACGGGGACCCACATGCGGACGTAGGGGAGCAACCGGCACGCACCCGGCACGTCACGGAGTGCCTCAAGCATGGCCTGCCTACTCACGTGATCCATAGGCTCCTACGCCATCCACGGACTAGACCATGCAAACTGTGGACTAAGGCCTCAGCACCGGAGCGGGTCGACAGCGCATACTTGTACGGGCGACAAGCCGCAACGAAGTGATCTGCGAACTGCGCCAAGGCTCGGGAGTCGCCAACTACCAATCCCCGCACGCCACCGGACGGCTTCTGGACAGCGACAAGCTCCCCGATCCCCAAACCAGCTTACTGCGGCGGGCAAGTCGTGCTGCGACTCTCCAAAGAGCATGTGCATTAAGCACTAATCGCATGATTTCCCCGGTCAATCCACTGGGACTTGGCGCTGCTCCTCTGCGCGAGCGTCGAAAATTAGCAAAAAAAAATTGGTCAGGCAGGAGCTCGGCGGGGGGTGCGATGGGCTGATAGGCTTGCCGGCTCCTAGGATCGCGGCATCATTTGCTGGCACATTATTTTTTGCGCCTGCCAGGGGTGAAACACCGCGCGAAGTGAGAGCGCTGAGTGAAACAACCGAAGCACAGAGCCCAGCGGCAGTCGCGCCCCGAGGCAAGGGGATGAAACGGAGGGCCTCAGCCTCGAAGAAGGAGACGGCTCGGAGCGCCTGCATCTGCAAGCGGCAAAACGTCGCCGAGCAGCGGCCGCTCCTCCCCCGTGAAGACGGTGCTGCACACCGCCCGCTGCGCAGCAAGCAGGCTCCACCAGAGGCGGGGCCCGTTCGCGCGCCTGCTGGCGCAACGCCGGCGGCGCAGGCGAGCCGGAGCAGGGCGACCGTCACCGTGCCACCGCCCGCCGACCTCGACTGCCAACACCAGGAGGCACTGTGGACCGGGACAGGCGAGTTCCGGGTAACGGACAAAGCGACGCCATCGCGCGCTGCCGCGCCCGCGTGACGTCTTCCCTGCGTATCCAACGGGCTGACCAGCGTGGCATCGCAACGCAACGCCTCGCCTCGCTCAGTGGCCCCAAACACGACCAGATCCAGGCGGCGTCGATCCCCCGCCTGAACCCCAGGAGCTGTAGTGTTGGCGAGCCATTGCTGTGGCGCTACCCGGCCTTCGGGCCCCACCTGTCTGGCTCTCGTCCGGGATGCACTCACTAGCTGCTGCCACGCCCCACAGAAAAACCGTGTCACAGACGCACCTCCGAAAGAGCCAGAGCTTCCGCCCGTTCGCTCCCAGCTCCTCCGTGGTCCTCTGCAGTATGGATCAAGTCCAAGGCAAACCGCAGAGCTTTGCGGAGTGTGCCCTTCAGGAAGCGCGGTGGGGACCGGATGGGGCGGCATGGGTGGCTCAGCACCGTTTTCAACATACATGAATCCGACCAGGGAATCAAAATCCTGGGAGGCCCTGTCGGCTTGGATGCGTTCGTTTGGGCCCAGCTTGGCGCTTTGCGCGGCAAACAGCAACGCTAATTGCACGCCATCTCGGCCCTGCCCGGTGTGCTCTCCGCGTCACTCCTTGCAGAGTCGTCA